GGGGGAGAATAGGTTGATTGTTTGGATTTTTTTTGTTGGATTGATTGATTGATTGGTTTGACTGGTTGATTGATGGATTGATTGGTTGGCAGATTGACTGATTGACTTGGATGATTGATTGGCTGGCTGGTTGATTGGTTGGTTGGTTGATTGGTAGTGGTAGACTGACTGACTGATTGATCCATTACACCTATATATCTGTTGTGTGTGTAGAAGTTAAGTGCTCTGCTGTAGCACACAGATGACCAGCATTCGATTTCCATTCCGAGTGGGAAGAATTTGTATCGATCATCTCCATCTCTGTGTGTTTTAGTTTTAACAAATGTTTTATGGCACTTGCAACACAATGAGGTCATATAAGTGCCAAAGATTAGGTGTTATAAGAGAGTAGCAAACACAAAAAAGGAGCAGAGATAAAGACGATAGACGTTTGATAGGAAAGAAGAAGCAAACCACACCAGAGCACCCGTCAACCACCCACATCTCTGTGTGAGTGTGTGTGTGTGGCCCTGATGTGTCAGGTCAGCTGCAGAGGTGTCATTCGGTGTCAATAGCTGACTGTAACAGCGTCCATGTGCTTTTTTTTATTCAAACTGAGAAGCTGTATTTGTCTGTCTTTTCCCCTATCTGCCTGTCTCCTTTTTTTCTTGCACTTGATGGCCATTATTGTGTAAACCTTTTTCTTTTCGTAAGAGTTTTACGGCACTTGCGACACAATAAAGTCATATAAGAGCTGAAGATTAGAGGTGTTACAAGGGAGTAACATACACAAAAAAAGAGGAGAGATAAGGACAACTGACGCTTGATAAGGAAGAAGGAGCAAACCACACCAGAGCACCCGCCAACCACCCACTGTTACTGTGTCAATGGAGGACCGTAACAGTGTCCATGCCCTTCTTTTTATTCAAACTGAGATACTGTTTCTGTCTGTCTGTCTTTTCCTCTATCTGCCTGTCAACTTTTTTTTCCTTGCACTTGATGACAATTATCAGATGGACAGACAGGGTCACCAACAAGGAAGTGTTAAGGAAAACAAGAGGTTTTTTTTAGTAGAGGTTTTACGGCGCTAGCAACAGCATCAGGTCATATGAGCGCCAGAAGATTAGAGGTGTTACAAGAGAGTAACAAACATAAAAAAAGAAGAAGTGGAGATAAGGACGATAGATGTTTGATAGGAAAGAAGAAGCAGCAGCAAACCATACCAGAGCAACCGCCAACCACCCACGAAAAACAAGACAGAACCCAGTCAGAGATAAGGTAGGAAGAAGGTGGTGGCAATGGATTGGGATTACTCTCAGGAATCAGGCAGCTGCACAACAAAGAAAATGTTGGACTGGAACAGATACGGTAAGACATCAAAGGGAAGACCGCGTGGAACCTGGAGAAGAATCACAGAAATTGATGTACACAAAAATGGGAAGACATGGAATAACATCAAAAGGCTAGCACAGGATAGAGAAAGGTGGAAAGTGTTTGTCCTTGGCCTTTACCCTGGTGCAGGGTGAGAAAGGCAATGATGACGACTTGATGACGATTATTGTGTAAACCTGCCTCACTTTACTCAAACAAACGAGCCAGTCACTTATGACTCAACAAACGAACAAACAGCCACTTATGACTCAACAAACGAACATACAAAAAAAAGTCACATATAACACAAACACATAAATGATCACTTATGACACAAACAAACAAACAAACAAACAGACAATCACTTTTGACGCATATAACAAATAAATAAACAAACAAACAGTCACTTATGACATCGGTCGGTCACTCACAGGAAGAGTCGAGGACATTGGCCTCAGCCCTGGCCTCCTTCAGCTGTTCCTTCAGCCTCATCACTTTCAGGTCTGAGGCGCTCATATCGTCGAAATGTTTTTCATGCCTGAGGATTGGGGAGCGGGGGGGAGCCAGCAAGCATTAAATCAATAATTCATTCAATCAATCCATCAATCTCTGCTGCAAGCCTGCCCAGTACTCGAGGCACCAAAACAGAAATATTGGCCCAACCCTAGGCTTTTAACCCGATAAACCCTGACCTCCTGAGCCCAAAATAACCCGTCCCCTGGCTTCCTGAGTAAAAAAATGCCTACACGGCTACACAGAAAAGACACAAGTTTATTTAAACCAATTCCCTCTTCTTTGAGCTGCCTTGACTATTACAATAGTTAGCCTACTACGAACCTACAAGTCTTTTTGACGTCATTTGCCCCCCTTTATCCATGTATGAACTGCTGCTCTATGGTAGATCATCACACACCCATAAATCGGTGCTTCGGGGCAGGGCAGATAACTTCCACACCGATGTATGTATGTATAGTGTTTTACAGCGCTCGCAACTGCATACGGTCATTTGAGCGCGCGAAACACAAGCTAGTTTTATTCGCAGTTTACTGCACGGCTGGGTACGGGTCATTTGATCTTAAAACGTTAAAATATTTAAAATTTGGTGTAAATATGTTTTCAATCTAAAACAACTTTCATAAAAATTTCTAATAATTCAATTTTGTTCTATTAATTTCCCATAAAGGCCGATGGCCTTCATAAAATCCAAAATTCTGTTGGGACCAACGACAGGAAAAAATGTCTTGCAATTTTTTGTATTTAAAGTATTTCCTTCGGATCTCTCCAAGTCTAGACATTCGGTGTGTCTAATGGTAAAATCTGTGTCGCATCCGACACAGAACGACTTCTCATCTCCCTGAAGGAGGTATTTGTGTGTTACGGCCGTGTGTCCAATGTGTAATCAAGTTAAAAAATGACTTCGTCTCTTCTGGAGAGGCCCGAAGGATTTCGCGGTCCCAGTTTGGGTTTAATATTGTGGAGTTTGTTACCCGTCTGTTTTTTCCAGTGGCTCTCCGACAGGCTGGAGGTGTACTTTTTTACTTTATTTTTAAAGTCAGTCTGTGGGAGAGTGTTCGTCGTTGGTTCCAACAGAAGGGATAAGGATTTCTTCGCCAGGTCATCTACATGCCGATTGCCTAAGATGCCCACATGGCTACACCTATGTACATCATTGTCACCGGTTCATTCTTAGAATTATCCAATTTTCATATTTTGTTTGGAAAAAAGTCCACTTTGGGTTATTTGATCATAAATTTTTAACCAGCACATGAAACATGCTTAGTAGAATACATTTCACGAAAAAAAAAAATCTAAAATTTTGTAGTTGTCCAATCTTATCCCGACGGCAACGGTACTGACAGAAATAAAAAACTTAAAACAAGCAAGAAGAGACGGTAACTTTCTAAAAAAAACAACCTCAAAAAGCTACTCACAATTTTTCCATTTCTGCAGCCAGCCTTTCGGCTTGGCTGCTCGAGGCCTTGACCGTGGCTCTTGCACTCTTAAGTTCCTCCTCCATCTGCCTTTTCTCCGCTACACACACGATGTCGTAGATTTTATGGGTAGGACAGGGAAAGAAAAAAATTATTCTGCATATCATATTTTTATTTTGGTAAGAGTTTTACAGATTTTTATACACAAATAGGGCATATAAGTGCCGAAGACATTAGATAATATGTTATTAGATCATAATATACAAATAAAAGAAAGGAGACTTGTTTTAGTAAGTGTTTCATGGCACTGGCAACACAATTAGGCTATATCAGAGAAAAAGATTAGAGGTGTTACAAGGGAGTAACAAGCAAAAAAGAAGCTGTCCCCGTGGTTTTATGCACCCCGCATCATTTAGCAAAATTTGATCATTTTTTGCATTATTTCTGATTATTTTCCTTTATCATTCTTTGTTAAAATTAACAGAATCGCATAATTTCGCATTTTTGGGCTCAGTTTGCATAATTTCTGAATTTTTCTTGCATAAAACGACGGGGACAGACGAAGGAGAGATAAGGACGACAGATGTTTGATTGATTGAGTAGGTGTTTTACAGCACTATCGACCCAATTTTGGTCATTTAAGTGCCAATAGGTTTCACCTCAAAAAAATCAGACGTGTTTTAGTAAGTTTTTCGGAGCTTGCAACCGCACACGGTCACACTATCATCATTAGGCTAAAAGGACGGACAGACAGACAGATGTTTGATCATCCACCCACTTCCACATATCAAAACAGTAGGGTGGTTGAGTTTTGAGCAAAGAGATATGCAAATCGACGATACGATGGTTATAACGCAAGGAAAAAGAAAAACAGACAGACAAATACCACTTTTCGATTGATTGAGTAGGTGTTTTACGGCACTATTGACAGTTTTGGTTTATGTAAGTGTTACGAACAGATGTGTTGTCATAAGCCTAACTGTTTACTAAAAGGGTGGACAAACATTTATAATCTCAGTCTTTCACTGTAAGCAAATTCTTCTTTCAACTTTTCTCCAGTTTTCTCCAATTCTTGGTAAATATGGTAACAACTTTACATGTTTATGGAACTCTATATTTTTGTAAATAAACCAATTTTTAAAACAAAATTTCATTTCATTTTTGGGTCGACAATGTAAAAATGCTTCTCAGCCTTTGGGCTAAGATCAAATGTAGAAACCACCAAGGAAAAAGATAAAATGACAGACCTACCAGTAGCATCATTATTCTCTAAATTCCCCTGTAGTCTAAAACATACATTCAAACATTAGCCTATACAAAGAACACATAACACCATTGCTTTTACTTTTACAGCTACACTGTCTTCCTGTTAAAGCCTTTATTTATTACAAAGTTACAGTAATTAATGTGCTGTATTTAAACAATCTGGCACCATTATAAATATCCTTCTCATTTACAACAGGAGTATGTTCAGACCTGCCACTCTATGAAACCTCAAAATCAGGATCTCTGGGAGAAAAAATCGGGAATTGGTGAAAAAAATCGGGATCAACAGCAAATCACCAAGGTGACTGCCAAAGCTGACTTAGAATTTTTCCAGGGGTATCCATAAATTACTTGGCCTATATGCCCCCTGAGTGTCTGTGTTTGTTTGCGTGCGCGCGCGCGCGCGCGTGTGTGTGTGTGTGTGTGTGTGTGTGTGTGTGTGTGTGTGTGTGTGTGTGCGCGCGCGCGCGTGTGTGTGTGTGTGCGCGCGTGCGTGCGAGTTATCATTATTTTTTGTAAATCCTGAAGCATCGCGTCACACACTCCTAGTCCAAGTGTCTATACCCCTCCCCACACCAACCAATAAGTCCCGAAATACATGAACTTAAGTTGACCACGACAACGGACGGTCCCCGACACGCAGAACTCACACGGCGATGCCATGTCATGTGACGCGAATGCGCGATTGAAACAATTTTATTAACGGGTCCGACTAACTGCGCGCTCACACAAAACTCTCAGATGAGCGACAGTCGTTCCACTTCTAGTACTCTTGGATAACAACAGCGGCCGACCGACCAATTGTACCAACAAATCTCTTATCCCTCATAATGCGTTCAGACTAAAGCAACGACATCGGCCGTATGTTTGTCTTGTCAGCGCGGTTACATGTAGTTGTATAAGGGTTAGAAAGACAGTCGCTCGTCCGAGTGTTTGGTGTGAACGCGCAGTTACCAGACCTCGGACAAGGCTTGTTTTGAAAGTAACAGCGGAACTACGAATATTATCGATTATTTGTATGTCCCAAATTGTAACAGTTACCAGGCTATCATCGGAGAATTCTGAGTGCGGGCAAAGATCACACACAACTTGGGGCGATTCAACTACTAATTGCGGCATCGATATTTCTGGAAATAGTGCTCCGAGTTCCTACTGACAAAAGGTTCAACGGGTGCTTCCCGCGATAAAGGAGAAGGCAGAGTACGTTTTAATAAAAATCCGACACAACAGCGGACTGGGACAAAAAATCGGGATACACGCGATCGAAATCGGGAAAATCGGGATGCTTGAGATTTGGAGCAAAAAATCGGGATATCCCGACTAAATCGGGATGAGTGGCAGGTCTGTATGTTCAATCTCAAAATTTTCGGTCCACTAATAAAAAGCTGCCTTGTATCTAAAAATGAATTGGGGTAAGGCTTTTTTAATAGCTGCTCCCTCAGTCTTGATTCCCCATTTGATTCTGTTTACAACGATAAATGTGATGAGTAGCCACAGTGATTATCTTTTTTCATGTGTGTTCTTTGTCTGTCTGAAAATGCATGTATAAGTATTTAAAAGGATTGTTGCATGTCAAATACTGTATTTATAGAAAGAAAAAATGTAATATCTCAACGTGTCAATATCAGATACATACTGAATTTTAATGAGAGTTAAATGTAATTTAAATTCTATGTATACCTGCATGTGTTTTTACCATTTCTGTATAGCCAAGGAACATTTCCCAAAGGGATACTTATCAATATCATTTTATCAGATCTTATCTTATTGTTCTGAAACTGTTCAGGAGAAAACCTTGCAACACAATAGCACAACTACAGAAACTGTTAAACTATTATTTGTTTGTTCGAGTAAATTATAGCAGCACATTGACACAGTATTGATCATTACATGCTGGGAAAAAGACAGAAACAACAGAGGGAAAGTAGAAAAGTAGGACCTGCCACTGGTGCCTTCACTCCAATCACCCGCTAAACTATTACTTAACCAAAGATGTGTAAACAAACATGGCAAGACTTTCAATATTTAACTTTAATAGCAAGCTCACAGATCTTACCTAGCAAGGCGGAGTGGGCATCTTCTATTGCTTTCTTCTCCATCAGCGCAGCCTGTAGAATCAAATCATACGACAAATGAGGTATGTGAAAAGACAAGCACATCGACACAGCGGTTATTTGGCGCAGGCAGACGAGCTAAGAATAAAAAATAATAATCATAATATATATGCAAAATTGTATAGGTTTAATGCCCAAGGTTATTTATAAGAGGCTGTACCGCCGAACTAAACATCCATCTCCGATACTACTGATAATAATAATAACAACAAAATAGTAAAAAGAATAAAAATAATAAAGACAAAATAATAATAACAGTATGATAATAAAATTAACAATAATAATATTAATGATAGTAACAATGATAATAGTAATAATAATAAAAATAACAACAACAAACCCTGTCCATTGCAACAAATACCATATATATCATTATCAATGTTATTAATGATCAAATGCCTCACCTGTTCGTTATCTTTGGCCACATCCCTGTTGCACATTTCTCGCTGGAGCTGAAGCTTGAGTCTATACATATCTATTTCATACTCGCTGAGCGACGTCTCTGTCTGAGTGGACGTATTTTGTCCTGGGGCAGTAGCTTGACAGGGTTGGTTCTTCATTATTTCTTTTCCTTTTCCTCTCATCTCTCTGTCCTGCTTCTGACTGGATAAAGCTGTTGCAAGCTGTTCTTTAAGTGAATCTATTTCACTGTCTTTCACCATAAGCATCTCTTTAAATTCTGCTTTCAGCTTTTCTCCATTCCTCTCCAATTCTGTCGCCAACATTTCTCTTTCTTGTTCACCAATCTTTCTCTCCTCATCCCTGCGAGCTATAGCCATTGTAAGCTGTTCCCGAAGCGATTTTAGATCACCGTCTTTCATATCAAGTAGCTCTTCAAAGCTTTCTCTCTGCTTTTTTCCAATCTCCTTATATTCTTCCTCCATCATCTCTCTTCTATCTTCCTCCATCTGTCTCTCCTCCCATATTCCAGATAAAGCTCTATCAAGCTGCTCCTTTAGTGAAGTTATTTCCTCCTCTTTTGCTTTCAGTGCTCTCTCACTCTCAGCCCTCAGCTTTTCTTCCTGTTCTTCCTCCCCATACTCATGTACTTTCTGTCCATCCTCTTCTCTCTTTCTCTCTTCACTTATGAGCTTAGCCTCAAATTTGTCCTTTAGTATCTCTAACTCTCTGTCTTTCTCCTTTAACCTCATCTCATATTCTACCCTGAATCTTTCCTCTGTTTCTCTCAGCCTTTCCATGCATTTCTTTCCTTTGCACTCTCCATCCCGTTCCTTATCCTGGGCTAACGTCACTTCAATTTGCCTCCTCAGTTTCTCCATCTCTCTATCATTATCTTGTAGCCTGATTTCACACTCTTCCTTTAACTTCTCTCTTTCACTTCTCCTCTCCTCAGCCTCCTTGTCCGTCTCGTTCTGTCCATCATTTTCATTCTTTCTATCCTCTCCCTTTACACTTGCCAGCACATCCTCAAGTTGTTCTTTCAGTGTCACCATCTCTCTGTCTTTCCACATTAACCTCATCTTATATTCTTCCTCTGTTTTTCTGAGTATATGTTTGTATTTCTCTTCCTCACTCTGTCCATCCCATTCCTTCTCCATGGCTAACATCACTTCAATTTGATTTCTCAGTTTCTCCATCTCTCTATCATTCTCTTGTAGCATGATTTCATATTCTTCCTTTAACTTCTCCTCTCTTTCATTTAACCTCTCTTTAGCCTCCTTATCTGTCTCGTTCTGTCCATCATTTGTATTCTTTCTATACTCTTCTTTCATACTTGCTAACACATCCTCATATTGTTCTTTCAGCATCGCCATCTCTCTGTCTTTCTCCATTACCATCATTTCATATTCTTCCTTAAATCTTTCTTCTGTTTCTCTCTGTCTCTCACTATATTTCTCTCCTTCGCTCTGTCCATCCTGTTCCTCGGCTAACATCACTTCAATTTGCTTTCTTAGTTTCTCCATCTCTCCGTCTTTCTCTTGTAATCTGATTTCATATTTTTCCTTCAACTTCTCCTCTCTTTCAGTTTGTCTCTCTTTTGCGTCACTCTGTCCATCCATTTCATTCTTTCTATCCTCACCCTTCACACTTGCTAAGACGTTGTCAAATTGTTCTTTCAGTGCGGCCATCTCTCTGTCTTTTTCCAACAATCTCGCCTCATATTCATCCCTTAATCTTTCCTCTGTTTCTCTCTGTGTCTCCTTGTATTTCTCTCCCTCACTCTGTCCATCACGTTCCTTATCCTGGGCTAGCATCACTTCAATTTGCTTTCTCAGTTTCTCCATCTCTCCGTCTTTTTCGTCTTTTTCCCATAGCATGATTTCACACTCTTCCTTTAACCTCTCTTCTCTTTCACTTTGTCTCTCCTCTGCCTCGCTCTGTCTATCCTTTTTATTCTTTCTATCCTCTTCCTTCACACTTGATAACACATCCTCAAGTTGCTGACTGAGTGTCACTATCTCTCTGTTTTTCTCCATCAACCTCGTCTCATATTCTTCCACAATTCTTTCCTCTGTTTCTCCCTGTATCTCGTACCTCTCCATCCCGCCTTGTCCATCATTGAGTAACATCACTTCAATTTGGGTCCTCAGCATCTCCATCTCTCCATCTTTTTCTTGCAGTCTGATTTCATACTCTTCCTTTAACTTCTCCTCTCTTTCTCTTTGGCTCTCCTCAACCTCTGTCTCGCTCTGTCCGTCCTTTTCATTCTTTCTATCCACTTCCTTCACATAAGCTAAAACATCTTCAAGTTTTTCTTTCAGCGTCTCCACCTCTTTGTCTTTCTCCATCAACCTCGCTTCATATTCATCCTCTATTCCTCTCTGTATCTCCTTGAATTTCTTTGCCCCACACTGTCCATCTTTTTCATTCTTTCTATCCTCTCCCTTCAGACTCGCCAACACATCTTCGAGTTGTTCTTTCAGCATCGCCACCTCTCTGTCTTTTTCTGTTACCATCCCCTTATATTCTTCCCAAAATCTTTCCTCTGCTTCTCTCTGTCTCTCCGGGTATTCATCCGACTCAGTCAGTCTGTCTGGTTTCTTCTCCGTGACTAACATCACTTCAATTTGAGTCCTCAGTTTCTCCATCTCTCCATCTTTCTCCTGTAGTCTGATTTCATACTCTTCCTTCAACTTCTCATCTCTTTCACTTTGCCTCTCCTCAGCATCCTTGTACTTTTCGGTCTCAGTCTGTTTATCCTGCTCCTCTCTATCCTCTCTCTTCACACTCGCTAACACAACCTCAAGTTGCTCTTTCAGAGTCACCATCTCTCTTTCTTTCTCTATCAACCTCATCTCATATTCTTCCCTAAGTCGTTCCTCTGTTTCTCTCAGTACCTCCTTGTGTATCTGTGCCTGGCTCTGTTCGTCCTTTTCATTATTTCTGTCTTCTCCCTTCACACTTGCCAACACTTCCTCAAGTTGTTCTTTCAGTATCGCCATCTCTCCGTCTTTCTCCTTCACCATCCTCTCATATTCTTCCCTAAATATTTCCTTTGTTTCTCTCTGACTCTCTTTGTACTCTGCTGCCTCGCTCTGTCTATACTTTTCATTCTTTCTTTCCTCTTCCTTCACACTCCCCAACAAATCCTCCAGTTGTTCTTTCAGCATCGCCACCTCTCTGTCTTTCTCCGTTACCATCCCCTTATATTCTTCCCAAAATCTCTCCTTTGCTTCTCTCTGTCTCTCCGAGTATTCATCTGACTCAGTCGGTCTGTCTGGTTTCTTCTCCTTGACTAACATCACTTCAATTTGAGTCCTCAGTTTCTCCATCTCTCCATCTTTCTCCTGTAGTCTGATTTCATACTCTTCCTTTAACTTCTCTTCTCTTTCACTTTGTCTCTCCTCAGCATCCTTGTACTTTTCTGTCTCAGTCTGTTTATCCTGCTCCTTCTCTCTATCTTCTCTCTTCACACTTGTTAACACATCCTCAAGTTGCTCTTTCAGAGTCACCATCTCTCTTTCTTTCTCTATCAACCTCATCTCATATTCTTCCCTAAGTCGTTCCTCTGTTTCTCTCAGTGCCTCCTTGTGTATCTGTGCCTGGCTCTGTTCGTCCTTTTCATTATTTCTGTCTTCTCCCTTCACACTTGCCAACACTTCCTCAAGTTGTTCTTTCAGTATCGCCATCTCTCCGTCTTTCTCCTTCACCATCCTCTCATATTCTTCCCTAAATATTTCCTTTGTTTCTCTCTGTCTCTCTTTGTATTCTGCTGCCTCGCTCTGTCTATACTTTTCATTCTTTCTTTCCTCTTCCTTCACACTCGCCAACACATCCTCCAGTTGTTCTTTCAGTATCTCCAACTCTCCGTTTTTCTCCTTCATCCTCCTCTCATATTCATCCACCAAACCACCAAAGCTCCTCTGCAATGTTATCTCTTCCTCTTCCTCCTCCTCCATGATTGTCTGACTTAACAATCCTCCCTGACGAGGATTAATCAGGCTTGTACTTGCAGCTGAAGGAATCTGGGGGTTGAGTAGGGGCAGGGCAGGGGAGGGGGGCAGAAATCATAAACGTCAAAATTTACCTCACTCTTGTAACAATTGTTCATGTTTTTGTTTTAGTAAGTGTTTTACTGCACTTGCAACAAAATGAGGTAATTTAAGTGCCAAGGATCAGAGGTGTTGCAACAGAGTAACAAACACAAAAAAGAAAGAGGGGAGATAAAGACGATAGATGTTTGTTAGTTTTAGTAGAGGTTTTACGGCGCTCGCAACTGCATAAAATCACGTAAGCGCAAAGGGAGAAGTCCTTACAGGGAATCAGGCTTACTTCGCTCACCTCTCTAGCTTCAACAGGACAAAGTCTGTTAAAACTATCAAGGCACCACGGAAATAGCGGGGGACAAGAGTGTGGCCTGGATCGATAACAACAAGAGAGTGACAAACATACAAAAGAAGTAGAGAAAAAAAATGACGATAGTAAGGATTAGGAAAGAAAAGGCAGCAGTTCCCTGTTGCAGTCCAGGCAGTTATGAGCATGACATTGATGAATCAGCCATTTACAATTACAACTCTACTGTGCATAAGAACTCGAGGTAAATGTGACATTGATGAATCAGCCCATTCACAATTACAATTTTACTGTGCACAAGAACATGGTTAACCCCCCCCTTTTGGGAATGGCCTAAAGACACTTTAGTTAGTAGCACCACCCCAGGGGTTGATAGATGTTCAATAGGAAAGAAGAAGCAAACCACACTAGAGGACTCGCTCACCACCCACTGTTAATGTTTTATGCAACCAATTGTTGGTTTAAGTAAAGAGAAGCACATTGACAAAATAACAGTTTTTAGTTTTCGTAAGAATTTTACGGTGCTTGCAACGCAATAAGGTCATATAAGTGCCAAAGAATAGATGTGTTACAAGAGAGTAACATACACAAAAAAGAAAGAGGAGAGATAAGGAAGATAGTTGTTTGACAGGGAAGAAGGAGCAAACCACACCAGAGCACCAGAGCAGGGGTTATTTAGTGCTGTGGAAAAAAGCAAGACAGATATGCAGGAACAACAGAGGGAAAGTAAAGAAGTAGGATCAACCAGTAGCGCCCTCCAACCACCCAATTACTCTAGTTTAATGTGACTTATAGTGCGGTCAAAAATTCGAGGCGCAAATTATCCTCAAATATCTTTTTAACAGGAGAATCAATGTCACCCATATTTTGCACAACAGTTTGTCTCAATTCGTCTTAACTTAAATCATCTTTTTCCACAACAATTGAGGCTAGATTTTAAAACTTTTCTTCATAATTTTATATATATATATAAAATACTAGAAGCCTTCCCGCGGAAAATAGAGTTGTTCACAGCACTTCCCGCTCATTTTGTATACATTTTGTATACGCGTATGGGTTACATTACAGCTCACCAATGACACTTTTTAGTGGCAAAACTAGTTACAAGAAATTAATTTTATGGTTAACACTCGTTTGCACTAAGGTTATCAAAACATGCGTTCAATAAAGATAATCTCGCGATTAGAAAAAAAATGACAGATATGCTTTTAAAAGTGATATCGTTCCAGCTGTAAACCTTTTAAAATCAGTAGAAACCACCCATATTGATCTGTTACGACAAATTGATACAAGTCACTGTGCAAAAGCTGGAGAGTTTATGTTCGATAGTTGAGATATTTGAAAATAAGTTGCGTTACAAATTTTTTACCACAATATAGCATATAAAATGGAGTATTGACAACAGTATTATTTGTTCGATACAACAGTGACGTCATCTGGTGCTGGGGAAAAAGTCAAGACAGAGGGACAGAAACAATAGAGGAAAAATAAAGAAATAGGACCTGCCAATAATTCACACACACACACACACGCAAGCCCACAGAAAGACAGACAGACATACACACACATACACACACATACACAGACAGACAAACAAACAGACAGACAGACAGACAGACAGACAGACAGACAGACAGACAGACAGACAGACACACACACACACAGCCCATGAAAAGCAAAATCAGATCTTTTACTTACCAGAATACTGTTGTCCAGTTCTCTGAATGGTGAGGAAAAGTTGGGATCCAGAGACACATCCGCAAGCTGAAAAGAAGGAAAGGACAGGAAATGTCAGCATGGATAGAGTGTGTGTGGGGGGGAGGAGATTTGGGGAGGTGGGGGAGAGGAAGGAAGTTTGTTTAGTATAGGGTTTTACGGCGCTTGCAACTGCATAAGGTCATATGAGCGCTTGAAACACAAGTTGGTAGTTCAACTATTAGACTTTAAAATGCTAAAATATTAAAATTCTGTCTAAATATATTTTCAGTTTAAAACAACTCTTATAAATAACAATAAAATTTTTAACAATATCGTTTCATTTTATAATTTGCCATAAAGGCCAAAGGCCTTCATAAAATTTGGTGTAAATATATGTTTTCAATCTAAAACAACTTTAGTAAAAAAAAAATTTATAATTCAATTTTGTTCTATTATTTTCCAATAAAGGCCGATGGCCTTCATAAAATCCAAAATTCTGTTGGGACCAACCACGGAAAAAATGTCTTGCAATTTCTTGCATTTGAAGTATTTCCTTCGGATCTCTCCAAAGTCTAGACATTCAGTTAAAATGTTTGATTGATTGATTGGGTAGATGTTTTATGGCACTATCGACACAATTTTGGTCATTTAAGGTCCAACAGGTTTCACCGCTACAAAATCAGACGTGTTTTTAGTAAGAGTCTTTCGGAGCTCGCAACCGCACACGATCACACTATTTTCACAGTTAAAATGTGTCTAATGGTAAAATCTGGGTCGCATCGAACACAGAACGGCTTCTCATCTCCCTGTAGGAGGTATTTGTGGGTCAGGGCCGTGCGTCCGATGCGCAGTCGAGTAAAAATGACTTCGTCTCTTCTGGAGAGGTCCAAAGGAATTCGCGGTCCCAGTTTGGGTTTTATATTATACAGTTTGTTATCATTCTGTGTGTTCCAGTGGCTCTCCCACAGACAGGAGGTGTACTTTTTTACTTTATCTTTAAAGTCAGTCTGTTGGAGAGTTCGTCGTTGATCCCAGCAGAAGGGATGAGGATTTCTTCGCCAGGTCATCTACCTGCTCGGTTCATCAGACGTCCACATGGCTAGGTATCCATGCGAACATGATATTTTTTCCTGTTTCAGACAGGGTATGAATTTTCTGTTGTAGTCCAACTATTTTTGGGTGTAGGAGTGTGTAGTTTGTGAGTGAGGCGATGCAAGACAGAGAGTCAGAAAGGATAAGGAAAGATTTGTTAGGAGAATTTTCTACGGAGTCCAGTGCCATGTCAATGGCAGTGGCCTCCGCAGAGAAAATGGAGGCTTCAGGATTGAGTCTCCTCTGGTGTGTACTGCAGGAAGATAGGGCTGCGGCGCCCACATTGTTGTCTTTTTTGGAGTCATCCGTGAAGATGAGCTCCGTACCGGGGTATTTATCTATTAGTTTTTTGTATTCTGCTTTAAAAGTTTTGGTGTTTGTGTTTTCTTGCCACAATTTCCTTCATGCTGCAGCCCTTTAGTTCATGGCTGCGGACCCCCTTCGAGCAGTTCAACTTCTGGTATCGTTCGGAAGTACATGGAATACTGTCGAAGGTCGTGGTGTTCAGAAGTTTGGCCACTTCAGTCTCTGTTGCGCACTTGACGAGGAGTACACCAGAGGACATTCGTTGGAATGTAGCCCAGGACCTGTTGTAGTGCATCTCTCGTCTTGAACAGATTCAGATCAGTGATATTCTGTGCGTCTTCCTTACTGCTGATGGCCACGTACGGTTGCTTCAGAAGCTCCCTGATATCATGTTACATTTGGAATGATGGTTATGCTTCTATGAAGTTATTTTGTACATCACTTGCATAGCCAAAGCGAGCCACAGGTTAAATACGTCTAGACCCAAAAAAAAACTACGTCCGGAAAGAATTAAACAAAAACAAAAAACATACCAAAAAAAAAAAAAAAGCCCACACTTCCCACAACTGGAATCGAACTCATGTCTCATACACTTACCTCCGTTGTCTCTCCTCTCCGAGTGACAAATTTGTTTGCGACAAATTCTCTGAGTTTTTTGGTCAGAGCCAAATTCTGCTGTTTTAATTTTCTGACCTTGTCATGGTAACTCTAGGAGGGAGGAGAGAAAAACAAGAGTGTTATAAAATAGAAAACGAGATATACATGACAACAACAACAACAACAATAATAAGACTATTAATTGTTATTATTATTACTATTATTAACCCCGCAGGTAAACAGGTCCATGTGCGGGGGAAAATCCCATGAACCAAGGCTGCTCAGAGGTGACCCCACTCTACCTCCCTTAACATTTTTATTTATGAATATTTCCTCATGAATTTCTGCACGTACATTCTTCATTGAACCACATTTCTATTGATATAATTTGGGGGGAATTTCATAGAGAGATAGATGGACAAAAGTTGAGTTAGTAACATGATGCCATAAACAACACCACAAAACAACATAAACAACACACATTCGAGTAATGATACATTGAGACTTTTTTTTTAAAGGGAATACATGTTGTGTGAGTGTTTGCAGGTAAAGAAGTGACAAGAGGCTTTTCCTACATTATACAATGCTCGTACAATCCATATTTAAACATGCAAGCCCATCTGTGTTTATTGTCAGTAAATTGTTTTTGTCAGGTAGATGTGTTAGATCTAGATCAATCTCTTCGAGCTAAAATCTGGATCTGGCGCTTTCAAATGGGGGGGGGGGGGGGGGGGGGGGAGATGGAGTAAACATAAAGGGAAGGCACCCCAACAATAGTTACAAAATTTTAGCAGTAACTTCCCTAATAATTGGTATGAAAACAACCACTGTCAGTCTCATAAATTCTACAGGCCATAGGCACAGCGCTACACAGTTCATGCCCGTAAATTCTACGGGTGTGGGTGCGAAGAGGTTAATAATAATAATTATTATCATTATTATTAATAATAATAATAATAATAATAAGCGTCAAGACATTACACTTGTTTTGTTTTTTTTGCGACAGTGAGTCTGAGGCCTGATTTACAGTAATTTCAGGTTGCTGAATAAAAAAATAACACCAATTTGCTTTATCACATCAAGTTTTTTCTCTATGGCATGAACACAGTTTTTGCAGTATGCAGTTGAATTAGCCCTGATGATAACAATTATACAAACTTTGTTCAGAGCAAGCAAAGGCAAAATTGTAAGATATCTAAGCTCTTTGTTATTCAAATAAATCACATAAATCCTCAATTTCGCCATGGCAGCAGAGGGAACAATATTTAGAAGTTGTTCACATACCTAAGTCAGAGACTACATATTCATGACAGAAACTTTCTTTTGCCGGGATTGTATAGAGTGCGTTGTGTCTGGAGATTCTCTTTGAATGCCCCCAACAGTTATCTGCAATCCTTTTACATTTTGGTGCACCATCGGCCATGACACCATTCCTCCATAATTCTATTGGTTTAGTGAAATCTTTTCCCTTGCTCATCACTGATATTGTCAGTTTTTAGGGACATTTATCTAAACACCTTTATCAGAAAAAAATTAACCTTGCGGATCACGTTGCATTACAAAAGATGGAACTTCTCAAACAAAGGTTGACCGTGTCTTGAGGGAATTTGAACCCACAACCTCACTGCTGCGAGTCTGATAGTCTAACCATTAGGTCACCAGCACCAAAAGACGTTAAGACCAAGATGACATAGGAACTGAGTCATGTGATTTGAGTGCAGGCGTAAAAATAAACCATGATTGTACTCAAGACCATGCAAGTATAAAAAAAATAAAACAAAACACAACAACCAAACAACTCACACCATTTGTAGGCAAGGAAAGGAAGGAAGTTTTGTTTCAGTAAGCTTTACGGCACTTGCAACACCACAATTTGATTATATATGTGCCAAAAATTAGACGTGTTACAACAGAGTAACAAACACTAAAAAAAAAAAGGGAAGAGATATAAGGACAATAGATGCTTGGTGTTCCTCTACACTTACCTACAAATGTTACCCCAGCAGACCATAGAGCACTCAGAAACATTACAGGGAAGTTACAACTCAGGAAGGAATTAGAAGGAGAAAACCATGCATGAGCACCTGCCAACCACCCACAATGCCTGAACTCACGTCAAGAATCCTCTGGTCCACAAACTGCTTCTCGAAGTCAGAGAAGGACAGTTCTTGACAAGGACAGTCATGTAACTCGCACGCTGACTCCAAGCTGTGTGGAACCGACAGGCTGAGGAAGAGTTTTGAAAAGATTTGGTGAGAATTTTAAGGCACACAGACATAAGGTCATATGAGCTTGCAAAACACAAGTTAGTTTTTTATTCGTAGTTTACTGCACGGCTGGGTACAAGTCATTCGATCTTAAAACGTTTAAAAAAATTTAATTTGGGGTAAATATATAGTTTTTCAATCTAAAAAATAACCTTCATACAAATTTTTAATAATTTAATTCTGTCCTACAACTTTCTCGGATACCCACATGACTAGGTATCCATGCGAACAAGATATTTTTCCCTGCAAACCGGGAACGTAAGCGGTGGGATCTTAGGCGGAGACTACTGTATTATGATTATTATTATTACTCATTCTCAGTTGTGTAAAATGCCTTTAAAAAAGACACCATATCAAGCGTCTGATGGAATTCAAACCCACGACCTTTCGGTTGCAAGCCAAACATCTTAAACACTAGAGCACCCACACCACTACCTTGAACATGATAGCCTTCTTTCATTCACAGCAGCTTCGAGAAAAAGAGGGGTTATTTCGTCGCGTAACCACTGTAATAGTATCAAAGGATGGGTGGTGGGTGGTCATTTTAAGTTGGTACGTAAAATATACTATACACAGGGATCTGAAATTTTACAACAATGAAGTAGACACGTGGGGCGCTTGTGTAAACAATGCGCCCATTGACCCAGTGCATGTGCAATCGATGGGTCATTTTCTGACCCAATGCGCCAATTGGCGCGGGGCATGTGTCAAAAATGAACCCTGTAGGGCAGTGATGTGGTAAACTAAAAATACATACTCTGTCAATGAACCCAATGAAGGACTCGGCGTCTTTACTGGTGGTTTGCTGTTGATGGGTGTGTCAGGTAGTGGTGGCGGAAACACCGGGATTCTTGGCAGCGTGAAGTCTGGTGGAAAGAGAAACAAAAATCAAAGCAAAAAATTTAAAAGAGAAAGAATGAAAAATGAACAAAAAGAATACAAAACAAAGAATGAAAAAGAAACAAAGAATAAAAAAAGAAACATTTGTAAAACGAAAATAAAATGTAACAGAAATCAGCTTGAGGCTTTTGCTGGTTTTTTTGTTTTGTTTTTTGTTGTTTTCTTTGGGGTTGGGGGGTTGTTTAAAGCATTTGAAACAAAATTAGAATAATAAGTAATAAAAGTGCCGCAGATTGGAGGTGTTACAAGAGAGTAACAAACATAAAAAAGAAGGAAGAGAGACAGCATCTAAAACTGGTGGTTCTGCGATTTTCTTTCCATTCCGAGGTAGGAGATAAAGCAGTGGCTGTAGGTGCAATGCCACAAACAAAAACCCAACCCCATCACGGAGACATTGTAAGAAAAATGAATGGGTATGTTGGTGTCTGTTGTATTATATTGAGAAGTTGTTTAAAGAGATAAAGAAGAGAAAGACGCTATTAAGAGCATAGTTGCTGTAATACAAAATTATAATATAATAATAATAATAATAATACCAA